GGGACGTGCGGGAGCTTGGCGGGCCTCGGCCACTTCCGATGCAGGGGGGGTTTGTGTTGTTTGGGGGGGCCTCTGGGCCGCAGGTCCTGCACCGCGGGAGATGCACCGTCGTCTCCTCCACCAGAGGGATGAGAAAGACGCCCAGAGAGGGACAGACCCTCACCCAGAGCCACACAGCCCGCCAGTTACGGAGGTGCAGCTGGCACGTGGTCCTTGGGTGTCTTAGGGCCTCTGGAGGGTGCGGCAGGTGGGCGGCCACACCTCCTGCTCCCCGGTCCCCAGAGACAAGCCCCCCCCCGCAGCAGCCTGCTAATCGTGGTGCCTAATTACCCCACAGCCCCAGGGAAATGCCCAGACCCCTTTCTAAGGCCCTGAAGCACCCCAACAGCAGCTCGCGGCCCTGCCAACGCCTGGCTCCCCAGGGTGCGGCCACAAGCTCCCGGGGAAGAGCAAGCCCACGAAAACACAGCCCGGAACGGTCACGCGCAGCCTGGCTTGTGGCAGCAGGTGTAGAGGCTTCGGGAGGGCCCCTCCCGTCCCCCAAGCCTGGGAGGCCGCCGGCCGGGCCACGCTCTCCCTGAGCCTCTATCGCGTGCATCTGCAAAGTGGGTTAGCAGGCAGTGAAGGAGCACGCGCAGAAGACGAGGGCGGCTCCCCCGGGTGGGGCGCCCCACACCACCCTGTCCCACCCCATCGTCATGACTGTCACCTGCTGCCCCCCCATCTGTCGCCAGGCTGGGAAGCAGGAGCCGCTCTGCTGCAGGTCCCACCGCGGGACAGCGGAAGCAGAGGGGCCCACGGCGCCCAGTGAGGCTGGGAGAAGTCGGGGCACCCACAGGGCTGGGGGAACAGAGGGGGCGGCCGTGGTGGAAGGCGGCGTGGCAGTTCCTCAAACGCTGGCCCACGGAGCGGCCCTGTGACCCGGCAAGTCCTCTCCCGGTGTCGGAGAAGGGGAACGTGTGTCCCACGACGCGTGTTCACAGCAGAGGATTCACAGCAGCCTCCACGTGTCCATCCACGGATGGACAGATGTGCACGGGGCATCCGCCATGCACGGGAAGGTCCCTGGACCGCAAGCAGGAGCGAGGAGCCCACACGCTGCCCCAGGGTCAGACCCCGAGTCCCCGACGCTCAGGGAGGGACCCAGACACAGAAGGCCCCACCGGGTGTGAGCCCACGTGTGTGACACGTCCAGGATGGGCTCCTCCATGGATGGGGAGGGGGCTCGGAGGGGCCGGGGGCTGGGGAGGGGAAGAGGGGGTGACTACTCTGGGGGAAAGAGATTCCTTGAAGGTGATGGAATGTTCTGGAATTAGTGGTGATGGTTGCACAACTCAGTGAATGTACTGACAACCAGAAGGAAGGGACCCCGAGGACACCAGGCTCAGGGAGGGGACCCAGACCCAGGACACCTCCTGCAGGACCCCACTCCCAGGAGGTCCCCAGAGGAGGCCTGTCCACAGAGACAGAGGAGGTGGTGGGGGGCAGGGACGGGGGGTGTCAGTGCTTCCTGGGGACCGGGTCTCCGTGTGGGGAGATGGAAGGTTCTGGAGACGGTGGTGGGGGTGGGTGTGCTTCGTGCCCTGAGCTGTGCGCCTAGAGACCGTCGGGGGGTGCCTAGCCAGCTCAGTTCGTAAAACATGTGACTCTTGATCTCTGGGTTGGGAGTTTGAACCCCATCTGAGCGTAGAATAAAGATTACTTATAAAAAAAAATAGTTGAAAAAAATTTTTTAAAAATTAAAAAAATAAAAAAATAGTTGAGGGACCGCTGGGTGGCTCAGTGGTTGAGCATCTGCCTTGGACTCAGGTCATGATCCTGGGGTCCCGGGATCGAGTCCCACCTCGGGCTCCCTGCAGGGAGCCTGCTTCTCCCTCTGCGTGTGTCTCTGCCTCTCTCTGTGCCTCTCTCAGGAATAAATAAATACAATCTTTAAATTAATTAATGAATTAAAATCTTTCAAAAAAAATTTTAATGGTTGAAACGGTAAATATCTGCTCATCCAGTCATCTGTTTGTGGATATTTGTTTCTACTTCGGGCCATTGTAAATAATTCTATTATCAACACGGGTATGTGAGGGTCTGCTGAGTCCCCACTTTCAAATCCCTGGGGGCCACACCCAGGAGTGGACTCGCCGGGTCAGACAGTGACTCCGTGTTTAAGTTTGTAAGGAACCGCAGGACCGTCTCCCCAAGGCCGCGCCCCCCCCGCCCCATCACCTCCCCCCCACCTCCTGGGCCGCACACCAGGGCTCCAAGGTCTCCATGTCCTCAGCAACACTGGGTGTTTTCCTTTTTTTTTTTTTTTTAAATCACAACCACCCTGGTGGGCGTGGAGTGGCATCTCACGGAGGTTTGACACCTGCCCCGACGGCCAGGAGGTGCGTCCTCTCGGCCATCTGTATGTCGTCTTTGCGGGAGCGTCTGTCCAGGTCCTCTGCCTGCTCTTACCTTGGCTGGTTTGTTCGCTGCTGCTGTTTCTATATTCGGGACAATGGAGTCTTGTCGGGATTTGCAACGATTGTCTCCCATCCTGGGAGCTGTCTTTTCATTCTCTTGCTGGCGTCCTCTGATTGATGCACAAAACTTTTTAATTCTCATGAAGTCCTGTGTATCTGATTTTCCCCAACTTGACTCTCTCTTTTTTTTTTTTTTTTTTTGAAGTAGGCCCCAGGCCCAGCACGGAGCCCAACGCGGGGGCCTGAACTCACGACCCTGAGATGGAGACCCTGAGATCGGCAGTCGGATGTCTAAAGGACTGAGCCACCCAGGCGCCCCTCCTCCCGGACGTTTCTGAGGACATTCCACAGAGTTCTCAAGGGGCTTGCAAGTGTCCCCAGCCCCATCTCCCAGGCTGGCGGCCCTGCCACCCCATCCGCACCCACTGCTGCCCACACTAAATCTCCATCAACCGTGGCCCTTCCCGTCCATGTCCACGCCAGGCCTTCGCCGGGCCCAGCTCCTCTCTGCTCTCCGGGCACTGTTCCTGCCCAACCCGCATGTCCGCCAGGCAGCGCCCGGGGCTCATGAGAGTGGAGGGACCCGGGAAAGTGTCTCCATCTCCTCCAGCATCAGAGGCAAACAGTGAGTACAACGATCATGAATATATCCTCACGCACCCCCCGGATTACACCTGCGTGTACACACCAATGCATCAGGAAACGGCATCTTCAGGGTGCCTGGGGGCCTCAGCGGTTGAGCATCTGCCTTCAGCTCAGGGCGTGATCCCAGGGTCCTGGGATCAAGTCCCACATTGGGTTCCTTGTAGGGCCTGCCTATGTCTCTGCCTCTTCTGTGTCTCTCAGGAATAAATAAAGAAAATATTCAAAAAAAAAAAAAAAAAGGAAACAGCATCTTCAGTGGTTTTCGTGGAAGCCCGGACCCACAGAAGTCATGGTGCCACCCTGCGTCCTACTCTCCTGGAAGCAGCCCAACCGAGGTTTGGAAGCGAAGTGGGACCGTGCTGCCCTCTTGTGATGCCCAAAAACCTTCCATGGCTCCCCAGTGGTGTCCAAATGAAGGCTGAGCCCCTGGGTGGCCCATTTCCTCCCCGCCTTACCCCTCCCAGCCCCACCCTCTGCCTCTGGGCCTTGGCACCGACCACTGGTCACCTAGGTAACCCCCGTATCCTTCACTGGGGGAAGCCCTCCCCACCAGCCTCCGGCCCTCAGCCAAGGTCAGTTCCATTGTTATAAACCTGCCTGGAAAGAAGCTCCCCTCCCTCCTCTCAATTTGCCATTTGGCTCTCGTTAGAGCAGCCAGGAGCCCCCAGGCCACGCAGCTGACACGGGGCTGGGGCGCTCTGGGGGGGCGCCGGGGCTGAGCGGCCTCTCTGGCCCCGCCCACGCCCACGCTGGAGCACCGTCCTGCTGTGACAGCCACAGATGTCCCCACACGCTGCCCAACGTCCCCTGGAGGCAGAATTGCCCTGGTAGGGAATGATCGGATAAGTGCCTGCCTCCGCCTCTGGCGCCCAGCCGGGTGCCAAGCCCTAGTACGCCCCTCGCGGGCTCCGGCGGGCACACACGGCGGGCACCACGCGCGGCACTGGCTGGTCCTTCTCCAGGACGAGCCCCGTAGAACTATACCGGGGGTGCGTTGTGCCCCCCAGATTCGACGGAGAGGTCCTGCCCCCAGCGGGGTTGCATCTGGAGATGGGGCTTGTAGGGGGTAGTGAAGGTCACCAGGTGGGGCCCCGATCCTGTGACCAGATAGCACTGGTGGCAGCGGCAGCCTGGCCACGCGTGCACATCCGTGGAGGAGAGGCCGTGAGCACGCGGCCCCAGGCAGCGGAGTCCGGGCCCAGCCAGGGACAGACTGCAGCAGACCTCATCCGCCGCCACCACCACCGGCATCTGGATCTTGGACCTTCCGGCCTGGGAACTGTGAGAAGTGAGTGCTTATTGTTTATTAGGGCCCCGCTGGGGTGCTTTGCTTTGGGAGGCCCTGGGCCTGCTTTGCTGGGTGGCCTCGTCCTGAGAAAGGTGATCTTCACAGCGAGCCAGGTCGACTGAGCACCTACTGTGTGTGACAAGCTCTGTGCAGGGAATAAAAAAGCCCGAATCCCTGCCTCGTGCAGCTGACATGCAGCTGACGTTATTCTAGTGGAGACAATAAACACACACAGGAAAATATAAAGACAGAGATGTTCCTTTAAAGTAGAGAAAGAGAACAAATGGATATCGGGCTAGTTTAGGGAGGCCCAAGGTAGCCTATGGGAGGAAGTGATGTCACCTGAGCCGAGACCTGCAGGAAGTGAGGGATGGGCCAGGTGATTTCCACAGGAAGCACCTCCCAGGCTGCAGGCACAGCCCATGCAAAGGCCCTGGGGCAGGACTGGGCCTGGTGTGTTGGAGGAACAGCGAAGGGGCCCCTTGTGGCTGGAGCAGGGTGAGCAAGGGGGACAGATAGAGGAGGGGGTACAGAGAGGGGACTGGGTGGTCGTGTGGGGCCTTGGGGACCGCGAGGAGGACTTTGGGTCTCACTGAAAGAACATGAGGGTGCTCTCTTCAACAGCACATAGGCGGAAATTGGAACGATACAGAAGAGATTCGCATGGTCTCTGCACAAGGAAGTCACACAAATTCATGCAATGTTCCATGTTTTTAAGAATTTAAGCCAAAAATTACAGATTTCTCCATTTTTCACTAAACAGGCAATTGAAACGCATGGTATAATGAAATGGACAGAACAACTATTCTATTTATTTAGTTTCCCATCTATGAGAATCTCACGATAAAGTCATAGCTATTGAGGCGCCTGGGTGGCTCAGTAGTTGAGCGCCTGCCTTTGGCCCAGGGTGTGACCCCGGGGTCCCGGGATCAAGTCCCGCATCGGGCTCCCCTAGGGAGCCTGCTTCTTCCCTCTGCCTGTGGCTCTGCCTCTCTCTGTGTCTCTCATGAATAAACAAAATCTTAAAAAAAAAAAAAAAAAAAAAAAAAACTTGATGCCTGAAGAAAGTGCCTCACTCAAAATTGCACTTACCCTAGTCCCGGCCCTGCCAGAATTAAATAGAGAAGTCACAATGAGGCCTCGTTGAGAAGGTGACCTTTAAGCCAAGCCTGGAAAAAAAGGAAAGAATTAGTCAAAATGGCATTTGGTGAATGCCTATTGGAGCAGAAGAAGTAGCCCATGCAAAGGCCCTGGGGCGTGGACCGGGGCCTGGTGTGTCGGAGGAACAGTAAGGAGGCCCCATTGGCTGTAGCAGAGGGAGCAGAGGGAAGAGGAGGGGAGGACAGGGAGGGGATGGCGAGCTCCAGCAGGACCTTGGGGGCCCCAGGGAGGACCTGGGCTTTCACCTCAGGGAGGGCTGTGGCCCCAGGAAAGACAGGATTTGAGTCAACTTTTTAAAGCCCATTGGCTCTGCAAGCGGAGGGATTTTCAGCCTCCCCCATCAGCGCCATAAACCTCCTCCTAGAATCCCACCTGACACACAGTAGGTGCGGCAGGTATTCCCCGCGGGAGGGCACCAGCCGCGGCTCCCTTCTGGGGGAGGGCCGGGGGTGTGAGGGGCAGGGTAGGACTCTCACACCGCCCCAGAGGCTCAGACCCGGAGCCGGACCGCTGTGCCCCCACCCGGCGCTCGGCTGGGTGGTCACCTGTCTCCTCCCCAACCTGTGATTAAGGCCGGCAGCCCATCCATCACGCCCAGGCCGTGCCCGGCTCTGCCCACGGGGCCCGGCGCATCCGTAAGCAGCAGCCTGCCAGGTGCTCTGGTCTCAGAGGCCACGTCCACGAGCCAGGTCCCTGCCCCCACCTGCTCCCGTGTGCGACCCTGAGATCCCCGGGCAAGCGGGCAGCGGAGACCCCAGGATGTGGCCTAGAGTCGGGGACGGTGGGAGCCGAGGGGTGCGCAGTGGCACCTCCCCACCGCGAGATCCTCGAAAGCCCCACCACCCACCCCAATTAATTATAGAGTCGGGACTGTTGGTCTGGGACTGCGGCCTGCTCCCCGCCTGGCCCCCACCCTCCGCTCCTGCCGGGGGGGCCCAGCCCAGGCCGACCCTGTCCACCCCACCTCCCGGCCTCCCACCTGGCCTTCCTCCATTCCGACAACCAGGCTTCCACCTGGCCGACTCTCTGTGCTTAGAGCTTCTCAGCTGGGGACGATTCGCGCCCCCCCACCCCCACCCCGGGGACACTTGTAGGAGTCTGCACACGCTGCTGCTTGTCAAGCCTGGGCAGGGAGGCGCTCCTGGCACCGAGCAGGCGGGGGGCTGGAGATGCTGCTCGAGCTCCCCACGGTGCCCGGGGCAGGCCCTCTCGCAGGGAATGAGCCGGGCCAGAACGGTCAAGAGCGCAGAGGCTGACGGAGAAACGCTGCTCTGAAACCTCCCAAGGCTCCCCGGTGCCCTCCGTGTAAAATGCCAACCTCTCCGTCTGGAACTCAGGGGCCTGCTTCCTCAGGCCTCCTGGCCACCTCTGGTCTATCCCACCGTGCCTGCCTTCATGCCCCACCTGGAGGGGCAGTGTCACATCATGGGGCAAGGCCCAACTACCTGACTTGACACCCGGGCCCTGCCACCTTCAAGCTGTGAGATTTTGGCCAGGTCACTTCGCCTCATGGTGCCTTGATGTCCTCATCTTCAAACGGCTCTATTACCTAAGGCTAAAATCCTTAAAGCAGAGCCTGGCATGTGGTAAAAACACACACAGCTCGGTTGCTTGATTTTACTCACGGTCTGGGACACAATGCTGGGCCTCTGTGCCTGCTGAAGGGCCCGGCCCTGACCCCACTGGACGGCGGGGGCTCCTGAGTCCAGCTCCGCCCCTGCCCGCCAAGCCTGGGGTCTGCTAAAAATGAGAGTGCGTGGCCCCAAATGCCTGAATACTGGGAACTGCCTACCTAGCTCAGGCTCAGACGCGGGTGGCTTCCCAGGAGAAAGAGGGTCTGGCGTGTGGCTCCTGCTGTCCCAAAGGACCAGGCACTAGAAGGACGGGCCCTGCTCTCGGTCTAATGCTCTGTTGTCAACATCTTGAAATTCCTAAATTCCTACCAATTTTCAACAAGAGATCCTGCGTTTTCATTTTTCCTTGACCCAAAATTCTATAGCCCATCTACATCGGGGACTCTGATATGATTTGTGGGGTCTGTGTGTTCCGGAACCCGATAGGAACATTGAAGAACCTTCCAAAAATGGGTTCCTTTTTTCTTATAGCACGGGACAAGGGGGACCCACATTATCCTTACTCATCTCTAGCGTCTTTATGTAACACACTAATATTCTGCTCATCACGAATTCTTTTGGGATGGATTTTTATTTTTAAAGAACATTAAAGTAGTATTTATCTTGAAGGAATTTTTTTTTCTGGGGGGGGGGGAAGAGGGGAGGGCAGAGGAAGCCTTAAATTTTGCTTATTTATCTCATATTCGTCTGGCCTTCCATCTGCCCAGGAAAGGTGTCTGGGGTCCTAAGTCTCCGTTTTGCAGACGGGGAAAACCCAAGGCCCAGAGAAGTCACAGATATCCGGGGAGGCAAGCGGCATAGTCGATAATGACAGCGATGGTGGTGGTAATTAAGAGACTGTATTTAGCACTTGCCGGGCTAACCGGGCATTAGTTCACCAACTTCTTTGGGGCCTGTTCTCCACATGGCAGCAAGAGTGATCCTATCAGAATCCCAGTTGGCGGGGCCTTCAGGGGGTCGCGGCCTCCTGCCTCGGAGAGCCTCCCTTGGAGTAAAACCCCCCACCGCCCTCAAGGCCCTGCACCATCTGTCATGCCGCCAGCCCCGGCTACAGAATTCACATGGCCCAGTGCAGGACAAAACTGTGGGACCCCGGGACAGCCCCTGTGGTGCAGCAGCTTAGCAACGCCTGCAGCCCGGGGTGTGATCTTAGAGTCCAGGGATGGTGTCCGACGACGTAGGGCTCCCTGTGTGGAGCCTGCTCTGCCTGTGACTCTGCCTCTCTCTCTCTCTCTCTCTCTGAATAAATAAAAAATAAAATCTTAAAAAAAAAAATTGTGGGACCCCTTGTTGGAAAACTATTAGGAATTTCCAGACCAGCTCAGCAGGTCATGAACCCGGCACAGGCCCTTCAGAGCACAGGCCTCCAGTGGGAACCAAGGTGTGAAGCTGCCGGCCCTGCCTCCCTGCGCGGCCCGCAGTGCTAGGCTGGGCCTGCCTCAGGGCCCTTGCACTTGCTACTCCTGCCTCCCCCCCCCCCACCCTCCACCAGGGCTGTCTCTCACTTTCAGGTCCTCTGCGGTTGAGGAGGCCTCTCTGACCTTCCTCTGTTTCAAATCGCACTTTCCTGGCCCTCCCCGCTGGCTCATTTGCCCCCTAGCTGGGGGTTGGGTCTGTCTCCTGCCATCTCCACCAGGCCGGGATTTTGCACACGCGCGCGCGCGCGCACACACCCCCCGCACCCCCGCCCCCACCCCAGGGCCCGAGCGGGGCCCGCACACAGTAGGCCCGCGGTGCGCGCGGGTGGCGGCGGCGGGGTCAGCGCGGCCTCCCCGCAGAGCAGCCGGCCCGCGGGCCAAGGTTACGGAGCACGTCCCTGGCACGCGTCCAGGTCGCGCCACGACGCAGCCGGCGGTGTAGACGGGGGCGGCGGGCCCTCCGCGGCCGCGCGGGGACACCGAGGCCCGCGGCCGGCCGGCCACCCTCCGGGAGGGGCCGCGGCGGGGCGGGGCGCCGAGCCCAAGGTCACCGCGCCGGCCGGCGGGAGGCGGGCTGGGTGGGGATCCGCAGGCCTCCCGGGCGCGCGCCCCCCTCGGCGGCGCGCACGGGGCCCGGGAAGCAGCGGCGGCGGCGGCGGCGGCGGCGGCGGCGGCGGCGGCGGCAGCAGGTGGAGCCGGAGCCTCCGCGAGCCGAGGCCGCGGCCAGTGCCGGCGCCGCCGCCATTAGACAATAGGAGCGGCGGCCGGGCGTGCGGGGAGGCGGGCGGCGGGGAGGGGCGGGGAGGGGCGCCGGGCGCGCAGGAAGCGGGGCCCGGGGCGCGCCGGGGCCGGGCGCGCGGGGAGGGGGCGCAGGAAGCGGGCGAGGCCGGGCGCGGGAGGCGGCGGCGGCGGCGGCCCCGGGAGCTGCCGATCGGCGCCGGGACAAAGGCGCGGCCGCCCGGCGCCCCGAGCCGCCCGAGCCGCCCGAGCCGCCCGAGCCGGGGCGCACGACCGGGGCGCAGCCCGCGCCCCCCGCCGCGACTGACATGATGTTTCCACAAAGCAGGCATTCGGTAAGCGGGGCCCGACGGCCCGGCGCCCCCACCCCGGTCGGGGCCCCGCATCCCCGCGCCGCGCCCCCCCGCCCAGGCCGCGCCCCGCGCCCTCCCCGGTCGGCGCCCGGCACCCGGGGTCCCGGCCTGGCCGTCGCCCTCCCCGCTCCCGGCCGGGCCGCCCCCCATGCCCAGCTCCCCGCTCGGCGCCTCCCCCGACTCCGGCGCGGGGCCCAGCGCTGCTCCCCCGCCCCCACCGCCCGGGCTCCCCGGCCCCCGCAGGTCCCGGTCCCTCCCCCCGCGCCCGGCCCGGATCCCCCCTAGCTCCCAGGCCCGGTCCCCTCCGGCTCCCGGCCCGGATTCCCCCTCCCCCCGGCCCCCGGGGCAGGCTCCCCCCCCCCCAGCCAGGCCGGGCCTCGGGCGGCCTTGGCCTCGGGCCTGGGGCACCCC